CTCCTACACGACCAAGACGTACCTTGGTTGCAAAGAAAGGCAGCTCTGTGACCTGTAGTATTACCAGAACAGTCAGAGGCTAATAACAGAAAAGAGCTTAGAGCTTAGAGCTTGTCGACGGAAGAAACCGATTACCTGTGAAGCTACAAAGGCACACTCCACTACTCCTGCATTACCCTTCAATCCACGGAGGCAAGCGTCTGCAAACTTTGCTGCAGCATATGCCTTTTACATTCACATTCACATGTCAGTAAAACAATTCCCGAAAAGGGGAAGAAGAGAGAAAATTAGTTCCACTTGTAGATTTTGTTTTGCTCACCATTGACAGTGTTGCCGATCCAGCTCCAGCTTTTGCCTGCAGATGAAGATTAAACTCAGATTAACTCACATGATTGCATGATCAAGAACAATGGGAGGATAATTTACTGTGTCCTAATTGTCGAAAGTTTTACCTCGACGACTTCAGTTCCACCATTTTGAATACGGTTTGTAAGGTACTCAACTTCTGCAGGTGTGAAGCTGCTAGGAGGCTTAACCTGTGGAAAGATTGCAGAAACAAATCAAGTTTAACAGAAGCTAATGAAATCAAGAATAGGAACAACCGGCTTTTCTTCTCGTTTATTTGCACCTGTGATAGCAATGGCAAGATCGTGACACCTGCATGTCCTCCAACAACTGGCACATCAACTTCTCTGGGATCGAGCCCGAGAACTTCTGCCTGCAGGATAGGAATAAAAAAAGGGTTTCTCAAGAATTCCAAGAAAACGTCAGATCTTGGAATAAAGTTTCTGCTTGGCATCAGCCTGAGATCTTGCCAGAACGAGATCAAGAACCGGGTTTATGGAGTAAGATCCAGAGAAAATACCACAAATGTGTTGGCACGAACGACATCAAGTGTGGTGACTCCCAAAAGCTTCTTAGGATCATAAGTCCCAGCTTTCTTGAAAACCTCAGCCGCAATTGCAACAGTAGAGTTGACAGGGTTGCTGATCAAGTTGACAATGGCGTTAGGACAGCGCTTGGCCACGCCCTCACAGAGTGTCCTAACGATTCCAGCGTTGATCTTAAAGAGATCGTCTCTTGTCATCCCGGGTTTTCTCGGCACACCAGCTGGTATGATCACAAGGTCCATCCCCGTAAGCGCGTTTTCAAGCTGAGGTTGCCCCAAGAAGCCACGAACCTATGACCCAAGCATGTCAAGAATTCATCATTACAGTCAACAAAAACAGATACAGCAAGAACATAAGCCATCTTTTAAGTAATGGGTTGAGTTTCTTACAACAGCTCCAGTGTCCATGTGACTGATGTCTGCTGTTACACCGGGGGCATTGACGACATCATAGAGGTGAAGTACTGAAACAAGAGGGTTCATCTTCAGAAGCATCGAGAGGGATTGCCCAATTCCCCCTGCAGCTCCCAGAATTGCTACTTTGAAACCAGGATTCCCGCCTTTCCCTCTGCAGTTTTCTCGCCCCAATACCGAAGTCCCCTCCATCTAATGAGCAATCAGCAAGACAAAAGATCATAATAAACCAAGTTTTTAAACAGGGTATAATTCACTTTGGTCATAAAGGGCTTAAATTTCTACACGGAATTATGGAGAGTTTGAGTTTAAATATCCATAACTCACCAATAATCTCTCTCAAACTTTCTCTCTCAATCTTGTAAACCAAAGTCACAACAAGGTAAATACACGGACAAAGCTACGGTCTGGATGAACATGATAACTGTCATTGATCTTAAGCTAATCAAATCATGAACTTGGGAAAACAAAGCAAATTTCATCTGTCCTGTAATGAGGAACAACAGAATGGAAACAATATCAAGACTCGACCTTTCGTGTCTGATTAAAACACAAAGAAAATGTCCGTCCGGACAACAACTCTTATGGATACTACCGAGAAACCCTAATCCCTGGGCCGAAGAAATTGACGTCCCACACAATACACGAAGCCATTAAAGCAGGAGAGAAGATAACGTGGCTAAGAAGCAAGAACAGATGGAGGGAGTGAGAGAGGAGAGAACCAGAGGAGTGGAAGAAGGTTGAAGATGAGCCGAAATCATTGAAATCCTCTGATTGGCATCTCCACGGAACTCCATTATTGCAGTCTTTCGAAAAGCCGAAGAGCTCTGTGTATTTTGAAGTGTTCAGTTTGTGAGCTTCTCTCTCTCTCGCTGAAGAATCTCTCTCCAGAGAGAAAAAGCTCAAAAACAGAGATGAGGAGATAAATGTGGGTAATGATATAAAATATGGGGACTCTATTGAAAGAATATGATATATTTGTCTTCGTTTGTAAATTATTGTTTTCTTCTTTTTTTTAAAAAAATTGTTAATATTTCTGTGGAAAGAAATGGTTTTCCCTTATCCTCTATTCCAGTGGCATTTCCGTAAATCACGGTCATATTTGGGCCCAATAAGATCTATCATATTCGGCTTCAATTCAACATATGTATCCTAGAACTGAAACAGGCCCATTTATAAGCCCATGTTATTTCCCATGTCTTTTTTTTTTTCCACGGCAGTTTCGCCTGCATTCAGTGTGTAAACCGGCGGAGGAGTTGCCGGGAAACGCGACCGGAGATGGGGGAAGAAGAGGAGGAAGAAGCTCGTCGTTGGATTCGTACGGACGAAACAGCGAAACGAATGTTGTCTCGGGTCCTCAGAGACCGCTCGATCCTGCTCCTCCCGCCTCTTCACCGCGTGCCTCTACGCGCCGGGAATGTCGTCGAAATCACCGGCGCTTCGCCATCTGCGAAAACTCAGATCTTGATTCAGGTGGGGAACTCTCGCTCTTCGGATCGAATTTCGTAGGTTGTTGTGTGTCGGTGTTTTGTATTTCTCTCGTCTCTGCTTCGTTGATTACAGTCCGCCATCAGTTGCATTCTTCCCAAGGAGTGGAACAGCATTCAGTATGGAGGATTAGGGAAACTGGTGTTGTTTCTCGACCTGGATTGCCGCTTCGATGTTCTGCGTTTATCAGAGGTTCTGAAGCATCGTCTTCTTCAAGCCGACAGTATGGAATCTTGCTTACTTTGGCTTTTCATATCGTTTTGCATGCCGTTATATGCTTTAGTATTCGTAATCTTAGTAGCCCTTTGCGTGGATTGTGAAATTTATCTGACTATAAGTGAGTTCTTTAGTTGGGTCAATTTCACCATTATCAATGACTTCACTTTCCTAACTTGTTCTCCTTAACATCAGTAACGATTTGCTGTGACATTATAGTTCTTTTTCCTTTGTTGTTTTCCTTTCACGACTTGCTGACATTAGCCAAATTTCTGGGGAAGTTCCAGTTATGGTGTTTGTAGCATCATATTCACACTTCAGTTCAGTTCACACATGCCTAGGATTTTTTGCATGGGATGGCATTACTGTGAGCAGGTTATGATTTTCGATAGGTATAGTTTCATCAGTTATACAGCCTATTTATCATTGCAGGTAGTTTAAACTTATTTACGCTATAATTTCTTTCCTCAAACAGGATTAGGCAATGGAGAATGGTGGCAACTTCAAGACGCGAATTTACGAAACTGTGGATCAGAAGACAAGAAGTCCAAGGCTGTTTTTGATGAGGAGCTTTATGTTTCATGCATGAAACGTTTTCTCTACATTCGCTGTTATGATAGTATCGAACTTCTGTCCACACTCAAGGTAATGAAGGCTGTCCAAGCAGGATATCTGGGTTTGTAATGGATAGCAAAAGTTTAGGACTGTTTAGCTTTTCCACCAATCCTTCTGTTATTGTAGACACTACATTACCGGATCCAAAGGGAGGAGGAAGCATACGGCATTCAAGTTGGAATTCTTATGATTGACAGGTTTGTCTTTGAATCTTTCCTTTTTCCATGTTATTCAGATATTATCTTGTTCTTTAAATTCCTCTGAGCCTGTTTAATGACTTTTAGGGCTTTCTGTCTTCAGATGGTCTAAATTCTGCCTAAATTCTTTAAATCTTTCCACAGATTGAGAATTGTTTAGTTTTTCACAGTTGGGGTTAGTATATTCTTGCGTTTGGCCAGATAACCGAGTCCGATATCTTCAACTTCTCAGATGCTTTGTGGGATTGTTGCTGGCTTTAGCCATCAAACTGGAGAGAATGTGATCTAAATGTTTTTGCAATCTTTTCACCAGCATTGGTGCTTTCCACTGGACTGATCGGCTATCGTCGTCTTTAGCTATGGAGGCACATAATAGGTAAGACATGCTCAAACACTGCTCTAGGAAATTTCCTTAGTTGGTATCTTAAATCTGCTGATTGATAGAAATGCTGCATCATGGGAAGTAAAAACTAAATGTGTATGGAGACAACTTATCGTTTCACATAAGTTAGGTTGTTCAAACTAGAACCCCTCTCTTAGAGGACAGTGAACTCAAATATGATGGAGGGTGTTGCAAAATTCCAGCATGATGATGGATTTGTTAATATTGGCAAGTCAGAGATGGTAAATTAAGCCACTAAATGCGAACATTTTCAAAACTTTCTGTTCTTGACTCTAAATCTGTTTATGTATGTATAGGAAAAATCTCTCCCTTAAGAATGTGGTGGAGACCATAGTGCAGGAGATGAAGCGGCTACTTCAAGTGCATTCCATGATAATAATTGCCACTAAGGCTACAATATTCGGAGATAATAAACACCCGGCAAGCGAGATCAGCCGGTTAGTTTGGTTTTTGCATATCCCGTGTTGCTATAGTTACTTGATGCATCTCACAACATACAAAAATTCCAGGAAATTCTCCTCGAATGACGACTTGTCAAGAACTGGTTCGAGCAATGCACAGCATCTTCCATTTCGTGAATTTATGCCATCTTCCTGGCAGGTAATAATCTCCATCCAGACATCTCACAATATGTTTTCTTTATCAGTTATAAGGTCCTCTCACTGTAAGCAAGTAACTCTTTGTTGTCGTTATTTCAGGCATTTGTGACACACAGGATCCTCTTACGACAACCAGGTTGGATTTTTTTTCTTCTCCCGAATCTCTGTCTGTATTCATCGACGTAATTTTTTTTGGGTCTCGTCAGCTGGTCAGTCTTTACCAATGCAACAAAGCGCAAGTCCCTCTACGTACACGCTTGAATGGCTACAACCCCAACTGAGCTCCTTCGACAAATTCGCAGTGGAAGAGGTAAAGTGGATTTGGAGTTTTCTTTCAAACCAATTCCAAGATTCTGAAACAAAGGGCAGCATTAACATTTTCATTAATGGCATCATGCAGGGCGGTATTGTAAACGTGTAACGAAATGGTTTATGGTAAGGTAAATATGTCCATATGATTTTATAGAAGATGGTGACTTTGGGTAAAAATCTTTTCTTGTTGAAAATTACTTTGGAATTAATTACGTGTAGTGTTGAGAAGGCTCGTGAATCGAGATCTATCTTGGTGAAGAAGCAGCAGCCATTATTTTATATAAACAATCCGATCAGTTTCATCTCTTTATACAATTGAGACGGTCCACGTAATAGTTTTTCACCCTTTTTGTGAGGATTAAAAAAAAAAGATTTGGTAGGATATTTTTTTTTATTCATATCTCTAAAGTTGAACGGGCTAATATATAATCATATCGAAATTGAGTTTGATATATAAAAAAAATTAAGTAACCATATCTAAATCAAATTTGATATAAAACCGATCGTGTATGGTTTTTCAAAATTAAAACGAAAATGAAATAAGAGAAAATAAAAGGAAAAGAAAAATTGTTTTAAAAAATAAATATAATTTGATAAGATTTGAATTAGATGAAGTCTAAAACAAATCCAAAATCTACTTAAATTCTCAATGAAGTAAAAAAAATTAAATTAAAACGAATTAAAATTTAAATCTAAAGATTAAAATGTCCCGTTGGTTTTATCTTTAGAAAGTGGCCGAGATCACTAGAAGAAAAAAAATCATGTAACATGGAGTCCAAGGAATTTGACTCGTGGATACATGCGAGAACACATCATTGTCTTTTTTTTTTTTAAAGTAAATCTTGAAACATTGAAGCTTTTTTTTTCCCCACTTGGGGAAGACTTTTTTTACCTGTTGGATTTGATGTCTGATGTGCAATTTCTCTGTAATGTGCGCAATGAACGGATATATTTCACGGCATCCCATCCATCATCATCTTATTATATATCAAAGTCATCAACATTTTCGCCATGCGGATTAACATCACCCCAAAAAAAAACACATTTTTTTTTATTTTTCAAAATTAATGAATTATTCGTGCTTGTCGAATTTAGGTGGGAGTTGCAAAAAAAAAAAAGATCAATCACTGTATTTACATAAATGTATGAATCATATGTTACTTCATGATGAAGTTATTTAACTTTCTTTTTTTTTATTTGCAATTAGGTTTGTTTTTGGTGGGTACTGCTTTGATTGTACAGATGATTGCTTTACATTGGGAGATTTGCTGACAAGAAACCAAAGTGTTTTGTTCTCTCACAAACTCCCAACAGTTTGCAAAAATTTTGTCAAAAAAAACGTTATTTTCAATCATTTCAAACATATGTAATTTTTATGGTATGATAATAATTATTGCTATGACCCAACTTAAATATAGTTCAACTGGCGAAATGGGGACGCAAAACGTATATCTCGTTCCGAGTTCGAGTTTTAAATTGGAAAGATAAACGTAATTCTAATCACATGGTTTGATCTCGATCTCTGAATTAGACTGAATTTTAACACAAAATATCTGATTATTCAAAAAAAAATATTGTTGTGTATGTGTTATGTGTTGCAGACAGATAGCGAGCAACACAAAAACAACAACAAAATTATTATTATTATAAAAATATATATATATATAGATGTATAATCAGGGAAAAGACATTGATGTTTCAAGATAATAACCAATAGAGAGAGAGAAACATATAATATAATCAGATATTATAGAGTTGAAGAAATTAATGAAAGAGATTAGAACCCGGAGGATTAATTTCTTTGTGGACATGATAACATTGGAAGTGTTGTTGGTACGAAAAGCCTTTGACGAGATTTGACTTTCGCCCTAACCTCCATTCTGTCTGAAGGGTTACGTCGGCGGAAGAAGCCAACTTTCTTACAATCTCTCCTCTTTAATCATACGCCTTAACCTTAATTAATTACCCCAAAACTTTACACCAATCGATTATAAGTTCGGCAATCTTCCAATTTATTGGAAGTCTCTATATAACTGCATATTATTAGGGCGTGGGTACCATATAATATTCGAAAATTTTCGAATATCTTAATTATTATATCCGAATATTTTAAGTATTGAAATTTGAAATTTGGATTCATATCGTTTGATTCAAGTATCCAAACAAAATATTTGGATATTGATCTGAGTATCCATAACTGAATTTTATATTAAAAAAAAACAGAAGGATAATTTTGTAATATTTAATAAATATTAGTGTTATTCTATAATTTAAAAAACACGTCGAGGTTAATTTTTTAACTTAAGAAACAAGATTAAGACAAAATTTTAATTTTTAATAAATATATAAAAGATAATTTTATAATTTTTTAAAAAAAGATTACGCAACATTTGTAATTTTTAATAAATATAAAAGATGAATTCGTAATCATATCTATGGTGATGTCTTGAAATTTAAATCTCAATCCAATCTATACTAAATTCAACTTAAAAAACCCAAATTCGGATATGATTTACTTCATATCCAAAATTGGATAATTTTGTCAATTGACATGTATGTATATATATATATATATATAATATTCAAGCAATCTGATTATGACGTGCGAAATCTAGGAAATAAGATTGAAATATATGATAGTTGGGACGTCTAATGTAGGAGCATGGATCTAACTAATTAAGCACGACTTTGGGGATAAGAACAAATACACACTTGCAAATTCGATAGAGCCCACAAAAAATAATATTTTAAAATTTATTTATTTTAAAAAAAAAAAAGATAATTAACACAACAGACAAAAAACATCTCACCGATCTCCGTCACGCGTGTGGCCATTCTGCGTAAGCAATAGATCATCATCCCTACCCCTAACGTGATCTTTATCTTTTTACCTTTCTGCCCTTTTCCGAAATATATATATACACTTTCATATAATACATATATATAGATGTATGTATATGTGTATGTGTGTATGTTCACATTGGAAAAATCTCAAGCAAAGTGGCTCAGCACCCACCCACGCACTCCTACTATTCATTGGGGGATGCCTGCCTACTTGTACGCATTTTTTTTTTAAAAAATGAATTGATTAATTGTTTAGTATATAGTTTTAATAATATTATAATAAAACAGTGACAAGATTAAGAGGAAAGGGTCAATTATGTAGGACAAAAAGTGGGTCCACGTAAAATAAAATAAGTTGAACTCCCATCCCAAGTAATAGTGGCTTGATTGCGCTTTGGGCAATGTGTGTGGATCTCAATTTACAAACAACAAAAGACATTGATTGCTACTTGAGGAGAGATTTCATGTGTAATATATGCACATGGAATTTTTGTATCTTTGCTCCTTGGTGAAGAAAAAATGTACCATGCTTTGTATTTTTTTGGTACATACACATGTATCCATGTCTATACATACATATATATATATATATATATCATGAACACAATCTTTTGTAGGTTTATGGAATTTAGGAAAACTTGATCTTGTAAATGTTGAAAAATTCATGTATCATAAAATCTTTGTTAAGAGATGCATGTATCGGTATGTAAAAGATCTAAATCTCAAAATAGTGTAACTAGTTTACAAATACATGGGTGGGGTTGTAATTCCATATTGATTTGGATTATCATCAATATATATATATATATTATATATGTAATATTTTATAACTCAATTGTTTTCTATTGTATAAAATGCAAAACTATGAATGATTTCTCAACAGAATTTTATTACTATTGTTGTTATTTTTGTGCCTAATAACTAAATTTTTAATCCACAAATCATATAAATTGGGATTATTATATTTTATACATCTTGTAAAAAATTAGTAGAAACTGAAATAAATGATTTTGGTGGGATGATGGAGAGAATATAAAATGAGTACAAGAAGAAATGGCCAAAGAGAAAAAAAAAAAAAGAAAAAAAGAGAAGAAGTGGGGCCCAGAGGGAGGCTCAAATTGGATGGTTGACGACCAAACCCATTTCCATGCTTGCCACGTGTCTTCCTTGCGGCTGCATGATCTCAGCATGAAGTGTCATGTTCACTCCCTCATTTTTTTATTTGGATTTTTTTAGATTTCCGTTATTATTAATTTTTCTAATTTGGACCTATATTTGGACTAAAAATAAATTGTAAGTAACTCTAAAAACTAATTAGTTTATGTTTGTTAGTGTATTTTTGGGTAAAATATGGGTTTTAGTGTTGGAAATACAGGATTAAAGATGTAAATAAATTATATTCGTTTTACGTATAATTTTTTTAAAGTTTAATAAGTAATTTTATAAAGTTTTCATTTGTTCTAAGAAAAAATGGTCTAACCGGCAATATTACATAATAAGACAACCGGAAAGGAATCGAAACTGGATTTATATAGAAGTATTTAATGAAATTTGAGGTAGAGAACTGGAATTATTAAATATTTTATTTTATTGATTTTTATATTGATTTCTTTTCCTAATCGCATTTTTTTTTTTTTATATCTGTCCACTGGATATAACACTTTTTTCCATCTGATTGGAATTGGTATAAAACTGACGAAAAGTATTAGTTATGCCTTAGATTTAAAGTTACGACCAAATTAAAAAAGAGACAATTACATTTTTTTTATAAAATAAAGGTTATGCATTACATTACTTAATGGAATGTAAACACATTAATGATATGTAATTAGCACAACACAATCAGTGCAATAATTCACATATATGCACAGAAAAGTGTCTATAACATTTTATACATCGGTACGTAGTAGGCGTGGCCAAAATATCCGAAAAAACTTAACCGATCCCTTATTCTCCGAAATTTCGGATATCCAGAGTTTATGGATCGGATATGGATATTTATTTGAAGATATTTATTGGATACGAGTTGGATACGGATATTAAAATTAAATTATCCGGTATATCCGATTCGATTCGTATTTTGTAATAATATTATTAAATATAAGAATAATTTGGTATATATATAGATTTAAAATGTTTAATATTTAAACATTTTTTAGAGAGATTTAAAAAATATTTTATATATACGGAGATTTATAATATTTAATCTTTTGAATATTAAGGTTTATTATATTTAATATTTTAAATTTCGAATATATTTATATTTGATAGATTATGATTGTATTTATATTTGAGTTGATTTGTAATGTTTAAATTATGAATTTTAAATTATAAATATCATTTATATTAAATAGATTATACCTTTTATTTGCGTTTGAATTTGTTATTTAATTTTAATTCAAAATTTTATAATATTTTAGATCAGATACAAATATCTGCAAATATCTGTAGTTTTTACGGATATCCGAAAATTACGGATCGGATACAGATAACAAAATCGAATATTTATACGGACCAGATACAGATACAGACATCTAAAAAATTCCGGATATCCGATTCGTATTCATACCTAGTATGTAGATACCAAAACATATATATAATAATGAAAATAGACAAAAAAAAGGGGGTCATAAGCCCCATCAATTTTATCTATATTTCATTCGAAAACCACTTTCCTTACTATTTATTTTAACAATTTTATTTGATTGTACAAACTATACAAATATAACAAAATTGGTGAATAATATATAAATTTTTTAAAGTTGGATAACAGATAATAAGAGGAGGAGATACAAAGAGTCAGTGTCCAATAATCGTGAGTAACCACGTCCCTTTACGCGCCGCCTCTTTTTTTTAAAAAAATTATTTTTATAATATTATAATATAACCTTTTACCAATTTCATATTGCGTGGACATATAGTTTCAATTTCTCCATCAAGACACCCCCACGATTCCCATGACCCTCCATACCAATTGATCTTTGACGGCATGAAGGATTAGATATGTAATTTTAAAAAAACTTGTTAATCGATGCAAATGACCAATTTAAATCAATGGTTATGATTTTTGTATACTAAATCATCGTTCATAACTCGAAATTAGTAGAATTGTAATAACAAAGATTAAATGATTCAATTAAAAAGAATTACGTAACACAAAATGTAAAAAAAAAAACATTTGCACCACCACTTTGCTCGTGTGCGTCTCCTTTCTTCGAACATACCTTTCCACGGACATACTTTTTCTCTATTTGTTTTTTCCTATGGTCTTAACATCGATCTTCAACATATATAATCATTCTTGAATATATATATATATATATATATGTATATATATAATTCAAACAAAAACTTTTTCCCCATCTTTTTTCTATGAATATTTTAATTCTTTAAATTAATAATGATAATATTTTATGTGGGGGGATGTGAAAATGAATTGAAGCCCGTCAAAATGGCGTATCCTCCAAAGTAATAAAGACCAAATTGCAAGTGCGAGGCTTCCACCTTCTCCTTCCTTCTTCTTCTTCTTCACCCTATAAATATGTCAAGCTTGTCTCTCACTCTCTCCCTCTAATTCCACATCATCTCTGTTTCTTCTCTCACCACTTTCTTACAGACACACTACTAGTACATACACACATACACAGAGACACACACACACATATATATATATATATATATTGTAAGTGGAGGAGATATGGGAGATGGGTATGGATCAAACGGGAATTTGCCACCGGGATTCAGGTTTTATCCGACGGACGAAGAGCTCGTCGTTCACTTCCTCCACCGCAAGGCTTCGCTTTTGCCATGTCATCCTGACGTCATCCCCGACCTCGATCTCTATCCCTACGATCCTTGGGACCTCCCCGGTATTTCTCTCTCTCTGTATTATATACACAAGCACCCTCACATATATATACCCACACAACATGCGTACACAGATCGTATATGTGTGCGTATACGTGAGAGGATCCATATGCTGCATAATCTTAAGTTTTGTGTGCGTCAACGCAGTATCTTGAACGAGGAAACCTTCAAGAACAAGTGACTAAGTTAATCACAACTGCAGGCTATATATATAGTCATGAAGTTTGACTATACACACACACACACACACACGGAGCTATGCATGTATATATATGGGTGTGGGTTTACATGTGTGTTCATATATGCATGTGTATGGGATGATTAGGAACGTCTGTATATTAGGGGGTATATACGTATATATGATACAAATACCCTATTTATGTCGAAAAAGGACAAGAGAGATTGTCACCAATGTAAGTAACCAATGGCCTCTCTGTCAGTACACTTTGGTGGGTTGCTTTTTAAGGATTGTTTTTGTTTCCTACAAACAAATATAGTACCAATCTCTACCTAATCTTTCCCTTTATTTATTTGGTTGGGATGGTGAGATACATACATGTAACATGCATATATATATATATATATCGGTGAATGTATTATATATATTTCACACATCGCCATCATAGCAACTTCAAATTTTCATATCATGTGACCATATGCATGTATCATGTGTGTATGCAATGTACGTATCATTTTAGCCAATATAGATATATGAAAGTGATGATAAACTGTTACTGAACTTGGGAAAAAAACGACAGGGAAGGCGATGGGGGAAGGGAGGCAATGGTATTACTACAGCAGGAAGACACAGAACAGGGAGACGAGGAATGGCTACTGGAGATCCATGGAGATGGATGAACCCATTTTCACCAGCTCCGGCAACAGGAAGGTCGGCGTCAAGAAGTACTTGACTTTCTACCTCGGAGATTCTCCGACCAGCTGGCTGATGCAAGAATATTCCCTCCCAGATTCCTCGTCCGGCAGATCTTCTTCCAAAAGAGGGATCCGAAGTAGTGGTTCTAGTCACAGAACAGTAAGTGTATATGCATATATACCCTCTTCTTGCCTTCACCCTTTCTAGATGAGATCATAAGCTACTGATTGACTGATTGATTGAGGTTGTGGAAATGTTGAAAACATTATGGATTGAACTCATGTTTTGAAAAAAAAATTCTCTGCCACATGCATTGTTTGTTGGTGGGTTTCTGGTGGATGGTGATATTTGTTGGGCATGCCCGAATTTAAAAATATATTCAGATTTTTTACAGTCCTTTTACTGTTAGAAAATTACAGAATCTTGGACTCATTATCAAAAAAGCTGTCTAGTTTTACATAGATATAAAACTAGTATATATATATATATATATATATATATATATATATCTAATGGGTGTGGGGTGTTATTAACTTTTGCAGGATTATGGCAAGTGGGTGTTATGCAGAGTCTATGAACAAAACAGCAATGAGGAAGACGATGATGGAACTGAACTCTCATGTTTGGATGAGGTCTTTTTGTCCTTGGATGATCTTGATGAAGTAAGCTTACCATGATAGTCACATAACCACAAAAATCCCAAAAAAAAAATAAACAAAAAAATGGGTTTAGTGGTTTGATTTTAGTGGGCAATAATTTTCTAAAATCTTTGTCCAAAAAAAAAAGAAAAAAAAAAGGAGAATGACATCATTCTTACAAGTGATATGTTGTAAGGTTCCATTCCATCCATATCCCAATCCACAAGCAAGAAGCAAAGTTAGCCTTTGTATTTTTTTTTATTATAACATTCAAATATACATTTCTTTTTTTGGTTATATATATACATATACACACATCTGTCTGAGTATCTAGGAGAACTATATAATAGCCTCCAATCATAATTAAACTAAAATTAGTTAGCCTAGTTCCCTCATTAAATTATTAAACCCTATGCATGCATGTATCTTTTTTTTTTTTTTTGTATGTTGCCTAATCTAGTAGAGGGTAGGAGCCAAATCATATATATCCACTCATCTTTAATATGGGTACTGTCTTTGCCTACTTCCTACTCATCTTATATATACTTTGAATTACATGGGAAAAGACATAATATATATATATATATATATATATATATGTATTATAATATGGGTGCTTGCTTAAGGAAGCACTGACTCATGTATGATGCAAGCATACTTGCTGTCTTGGTTGCATATATATAATTATTAATAATAAAAGCAACTTAGACATATGGAATGGATTCAAATGTTACATAAACAACATCTCTATATTCACATAACTATACAGTTTGTTTGTTAAGCTAAACATGAAACAAAGGGGAAGTGAATCAAACATCATAGCCAGGGTTCACAGTCTGTTGAACATCTCCGTAGCTCTCAAGCTCCATCACGTCTTCAATGCTGCCAAGAAACAGAGGTAGCCTCTGGTGAAGCTTCACCGGCTGAATGGAAAGTAACCCGCTTTTTCCATCAGAGGCTCTCCCATCGGCTTGCTCCACCAGAAAGGCCAACGGGTTTCCCTCGTACACCAGACGGAGATGATCTCTCGGGTTCATTGCTATGCCGCCATAGAGGAGAGTCCTGTGAAGATCAGCAACAAGAGAACATATGTAACGAGCCGAGTACTTCTTCGGGTTCTGGCCTTTGCCCTGTCTCACAGTGTCGATGTACTTCCTCAGACCTTCCGGCCAGTCAAAGTATCGAGCATCGTTGACTGAGTAGATTTGTCCTGGCAATGGTTAAGGCAGGTTTAGCTGGCTTAAACTGTAATAATACTCTCTCAGTTCGTCTCAACTGCCCGTTAACTCGGAGATACTGACCTCGGGGAGGAATCTTGATGTTTTGATGAGTAAGAATAAACTCCCCGGTGGAATGATCTAGCGTGAAGGCGTGTGTTCCAGAGCCAAGGCTAAGGCAGAGGATAGTGGCGGAAGAATAGAGCACGTACCCGGAAGCCACAAGCCTGCTGCCGCTCTGTAGAGAATTGAGCTGTGCTTTCTCCTCTACAGGTAAATAATCGAGTTCAACAAGACGATTGTAAATGCCGAATATGGTTCCGGTGGGTATAGAAGCATCGATGTTTCTGGAACCATCCAGAGGATCTACAACCACAACGTAAGGGCCGTCATCCTTTATCCAGACGGGGGCATCATCCTCTTCTGAAGCCATGACAGCCACCTTCCCAGAGCTTCTGAGAGAGGATAAGATGATATCGTTCTGAAACATAGCAACAATTTGGAAAAAGAAAATGAGAAACTCCTCCTCTTACATGGGTACAATTGGGTGAGCTAAACATCTCAATACACAAGTAAAGAAATACAAGGACTTTGAATAATAATATGAGCCATATGAGCATTAGATTGTGACTATGAACTTATCCCACGGGACAGATATCAGAAGGGTTTGAATGGTAAGAAACAAAACAAGAGGAAGTGGAAAACACACCGAAACAATATCGAGTGGCTTAGGAGCATCTCGGCCAGATCCACCAGAGCCATCACCGGAGGTAAGAGGCTGTTTCCCAAGAGAGGAGTTGAAAGGAGAAGCCACAAGAGAAGAAATTTTCTTGCAGGCATGTTGTATGTGGTAAATGAGAACCACAAGATCATCTCTCACATCCCTCCCTTCTCCTCCTTTACCTATTAGGGAAATTTCCCAACACATTAACACACAATAAGTGACAATCTGTACAACAGAACTGAAACTTCAGCACAGAGAAACCAGGAAGCAACTCAAACTGAATGTTATGTCTGGTAACATGATCTCACCCGTCTGCCCGAAAGAGATTTTCCAAACCTTAAACATAAGCGCGTATCTTATCAGTTCTTCGGTTTCAGATATCGTCAGCATGGTACTAACCAAACAACTACAAACATTTGAGTTCTTCGGACAGAGAGGGAATTTGACAAAGGGTGGGCTTTAAAAGGGAACCAAATTTCAGCCCTACGCGAATAGATTATTTCACCAAAATCTCAAGCCAGGTGAAACGATTGAAACCCACGTTAATTTCTCAGAAGCAATATTCTATGGAACAAATAGAAATGTTGCAGAACACGAACCCAAGGGAAAGAAAATTTCAGCAAAAAGATTTGGGTACTGTACCTACAAACTCCACGAGAGAAGGGTACCCATCATCTCCGGCCGAAGTCGATGACGGACCACCGGCGGCGAGGGACTTCACGGAATCTGAAACACGGCGGGACGCCATCGCCGGACGGCGGTTGCAGGTGGTCGGGACAGGGAGGACAGGAAGCGGCGATCTTTGCGGCAAAAGGACAGGCTTTGGCGGGAAAACTGGAGTCAGGTACCGAGTTACAGTGAGAGATTGCATTCTTTTTCTGGATTCACACCATCTGTGAGAGGCAATCCCATGCAGATAGATGATGCTGTGAAGTTTTGAGGAAGCGAAAGGAGATGAAGGAATCTGCAGCATCCGGTTCCGGTTCACGTTGAGTCCTCTGGTTCCGGTTCGGTTAAGGCTTGGTGGTTGGTTGGTTTAGTGCCCCTTTCATTTTCTTTTTTTACTCCCTAAACATTTATCTTGAAAAAGAGAATAATAATAATTAAAAGAAAAAATTTAGGATGAAATTAAGAAAAACATGAACTTTCTGAAAAAAAGAGGAACTGTTTTTAATTCCTGGTTTAATGTACGCTCCAGCTCATCCGGACAGCACGTGGAAGTGTACTCGCGAGTACACTGTCCCAATTTTACCATATTTCAGACAAGAGATTCTCACGAAACATGGGGGAGAGTATTGAGTTTCACATTCAAGTGCAGAGCAAAAATGGTGTTTATAAGCAAACACAATACCAAAAGAATCATCATATTCATATATGCAGACACAAGATCTCTATTACACTTGATGAATGATGATTCCAGCAATCCTTTCCATTGATATCTTATCAAACAAAGATTTCCCAGTTTTTGTTGAACAGATTCAGATGATAAACGGACAACTTATGTAGGAACGGATCTTACGAGGAATTCTTGTGCAGCGAAGGGTCGGAGACTACTTGAGGCTTGAAGTCCGGTTTGATATAACTGGCAAGAAGATCGGCATAGAGCTCGTACCTCGCAGTCATTCTAAACCCCCACTTGTCTTTTAGCTGTCGGCAGAGATTGAGATCCATTTCTGAGATCAACAAGCCATCCTCGTGACGGGACATTGGCGGAGTGCATGAAGCATCAGGTGCAGAGAAATAGCTTGATCCATAGAAATGCCCGAAATCGTTATGCTGTGGTTTTCCATCACCTGATGTAAACGCATTCGGGAATACTTCCGTTCCAACACGGTTGATTGAGCCCACATAATAACTATTTGCTATTGCAGCGTTTCGTGCCTGAGTTCATGGAACAAACCAATACTTCAGAGACTATGTATTACACTAGAAAACTTCACACAAGTTCGGAGAACACCCAAAAAAACAGAGGATTAGAAAGAGATGGGGCATTAGATGAATCAGAGGATTATAACTTAACCTCAATAGGCCACATTGGTTCACTCAGTTCACCAACAGTTGCTGAAGGGTTGAAGACAATCTCAGCACCATTCAGACCAAAAGCAAGCCAATTCAAAGGATGGTGTCTTCCATAACATATATTGACAGCAATTTTCCCAAATGCTGTTTCAAACACAGGATGGCCGGTATCTCCTTCCATGTAGTAAGTGCTCTCATTGAAATCTCCTACTCTCGGTATGTGGTTCTGCCAGGTATGGTAGAGCCACAAGAAAAACAAATGAATAAGGGAAAGAGTGCAGTTACCTTCCGATGCTTGCCAATGATATTTCCGTTATTCCCTATAATCACAGCAGTATTCCAAAGCACTTCACCGTGATCGATATCTCTTTCAAGAATAGGACTCACGATTACCATGTTGTACTTCCTGGCAAATTCCTGAAGAAACTTTGTCGATTCTCCATCAACAGGCTCAGCAAACTCACACCACTTCTTCTCCCTTGTACAGAATGCAAAGGGCATGGTCCAAGCTTCCTGGATTCACTGAGAAAAGTGATAAATAACTAGCAATTTATCATAAAGAATGCAAAAGGAGAATGCTTGACAAACCTGCAAGCATAGTATGTTAACACCAGCAGATCCTGCAGCATCGATCATTGGCTTATACTTTTCAAATATTGCTCTTTTTTGGTCCGAGAAGGGGGCAGTAGTTGGAAGAGCGATAGAGGTCTGAATAAGACCAACTCTGACTACTCGAGAGCTTCTCAGCTGCTCTTTCTCAGCATAAAAACAGTAACCCTACAGAGATAACCATGAATAGAATATAATAACTCTACTCACTCGGGTATATAACAAAGGACGAGGATGAAAGATCAATCAAACATTTCATCCTCTGAAGCTAGCCAACCAAAAGTAGTCAAGCATGTATTCATTCATGAGGTGATCCAATCAGAAAACTGAAGACGAGTACCGCGATAATAAATGCCAAACCTGGAGATCGAACGTGTGTTTCGAGGCGAGGTCTTCCACAGAATCTGGAAAAGCAATCTGTACAAGTTGTCTTCCACAATTGAGCCCAAGGAGCAAACGGCTCACCTCCTGAAAAACCCATTATCAAGAGTCCCTTACTTCAAAAAATGTCTGACTTTCAAGCAACACAAAGACACTTCAAATTATTTTTCTTGACTCAATTGCAAGAGATTTTAAAACAGGAACATGTTTTCTCTGTTTCAGTGATCCAATTTCACAAAAAAGGGTCTGATCAAAATCGTATTTTTATTCGTCTTCCTCCAAAGATCGCCTCCAAAATAGTCCGAGAATCCGATATTTCAAGCCAGATAATTGTTACGAAACAACTGTATCCACTCAAAATGAAATCAATAGAGAGTAAGCTTCAAGATATCAAAACATAGAAGACCCAACTATCTCATCAGCGATTACAACTCGAAGAACCCAAACGTAAATCACGAAGCCAGATCAACCTAAATACCAAGTCAGGAAAATCAGAAACTCGTTTCCGTATATTTCACCTGATATAGATCCAGTTCGAGATTCTCCGACAAGAGCTGATGAAGCGAATCATAGCCGCAAATTGTTCCGTCTCCGACGCTC